GGGAGTCTGTCATGTTGAATATTAACAGAACACTGTGGAAACTGCTACATCTCAGTAAACAAAGGCTTAGCAGAATCTAACTATTATTTGATAAAACTTTTTTGATAGGGAAAATAGTTGAACAAAGTACCAAAGTAGAAAGAAGAACATTTATGCTTAAATAAACAGCAGAAAAATTTTAAATGTAGCTATGCAGCTCTTCAAAAAAGTACCATAAGCCTTACTTTACTAAGGGAAGAGTAAGAACACTGTTTAGTGACCACCCGCACGTGCCAGGCCCTTATCATGCACACTCTCTTCTCTACACACAACAATAACAACAGTGACTCTAAGGACGGTTACCCGCTTGCTGCTTCCTGGCCACTCCAAGATGCTGGAACACCGTGACGAGCAGATGGGACCCGCTGTTCTCTGTCCGGAACATCCCTCCCCGGGACCTTCGTGTGACTGGCTCCTTCCTGTCCGTCACCTGGCAGCTTTGGTCACACTCAGCTCTTTTCTGACTACCTAAATTCCACCCTTACTCCACCCCCATCCTAACTACAAACTCCCCCACTGTTGTCTAACCTCATGCTCTCCACGTTCCTTATATGAAGGACTTACTGTCCCTGATAAAGGGTTGCTGTTTACTTGTCCTTCTGTTCCCGCCACTCCAGCCTAACCCCTCAGCTGCTACATTCAGTGTCTAACTGCCTGGTGCATAGCTGGTGTTCAGGAACACGAATTTATTTGAGGTCAAAACATCTAAATTCCCCAGAGAGCTTCAAGTACCAAAGCACTATATACCTATCGGAGATGTCCCATAATAGTCTACCGACACTCAACATAGTTCAAGGGAGAAATCCCCGTGCCCGCTCTAACTTTCCCATTTTATAGTCCTTCAGATTTTAAAAAAGTGTCCTCAACATTTCAGTAGGTAACAAGTGGCCACTGTGCTCATTCTTACATTTCTATAGCACCCTTTACAGTTGACAATGTGTTTTCACATTTGTTACCACACTTTCGTTCATGACACATAACCTGAGAGGTAGGTATCAGTACCATGTTTTTGAACGAGGTCACTGACATTCAAATAAGTCAGACAAGTTTTTCCAAGATCCCACAGTGGGTCAGAACCAGGATGCTACGTCTGCTGACTTCAAGTACAGTGCTGTGCCAGTAGACAGGAGCAGCTGGGATCCAAGAGTTCAGGCTCTTCTGACCTCTTTCCACGGCTATCACCTTGCAATAGGTCATCACTACCCTGCACTTAGCTTCCTTCAAGTCCGGTCGCCATAAAGGTACTCAGTGCCTGCTATTTTCTACCCGAAATGGGCTGTCCTCAGTAAAACATCACTAAACCAAACTGGTGGTATTTTAATCCCACATATTTATTACTAGTCCCCATGCTTTTGCTTCTCCTGAAATGTTCGCTGCAGATCTACTTGAAAATCCAAATATAATAGAACTTTCAAGTCACAGGCACTGTCTTTTCAAGGACAAAGTGGTTAAACAAAAACACCGTTTTTTGGTGGGTTTTTTTTTCTTTTTTAGTACGACCTGTTTCTC